ATTTCTGCCTTCATTTCATTGTTTACCCAGTCAATATGCAGGAGCCAGTTGTTCAGTTTCCATGAAGTTGTGCAGTTCTGAGTTAGTTTCTCAGTTCTGAATTCTAACTTGATTGCACTGTGGTCTGAGAGACTGTTTGTTATGATTTCCGTTTTTTTTTTTTTTTTTTGCATTTGCTGAAGAGTGATTTACTTCCAATTATCTGGTTAATTTTAGAGTAGATGTAATGTGGTGCTGAGAAGAATGTATTTTCTGTGGATTTGGGGTGGAGAGTTCAGTAAATGTCTATTAGGTTTGCTTGGTCCAGGTCTGAGTTCAAGTCGTGGATATCCTTGTTAATTTTCTCTCTCATTGATCTGTCTAATATTGACAGTGGAGTGTTAAAGTCTCCCACTATTATTGTGTGGGAGTCTAAGTCTCTTTTTAGATCATTAAGGAATTGCTTTATGTATCTGGGTGCTCCTGTATTGGGTGCGTGTATATTTAGGATCATTAGCTCTTCTTGTTGCATTATTCCTTTACCATTATGTAATGTCCTTCTTTGTCTCTTTTGATTTTTGTTGGTTTAAAGTCTGTTTTATCAGAGACTAGGATTGCAACTCCTGCTTTTTTTTTGCTCTCCATTTGCTTGGTAAATCTTCCTCCATCCCTTTATTTTGAGGCTACATGTATCCTTACATGTGAGATGGGTTTCCTGGATTCAGCACACAGATGGGTTTTGACTTTTTATCCAATTTGCCAGTCTGTGTCTTTTGATTGTGGCATTTAGCTCGTTTACATTTAAGGTTAATATTGTTATGTGTGAATTTGATCATGACATTTTGATGCTAGCTGGTTGTTTTGCCCATTAGTTGATGCAGTTTCTTCATTGTGTTGATGCTCTGTATGATTTGGTATGTTTTTGGAGTGGCTGGTACTGGTTGTTCTTTCTATGTTTAGTGCTTCTTTCAGGAGCTCTTGTAAAGCAGGCCTGGTGGTAATGAAATTTCTTAGCAATTGCTTGTTTGTAAAGGATTTTCTTTCTCCTTCGCTTATGAAGCTTAGTTTGGCTGGATATGAAATTCTAGGTTGAAAATTCTTTCCTTTAAGGATGTTGAATATTCGCCCCCACTCTCTTCTGGCTTGTAGGATTTCTGCCGAGAGATCCACTGTGAGTCTGTTGGGCTTCCCTTTGTAGGTAACCTGACCTTTCTCTCTGGCTGCCCTTGGTATTTTTTCCTTCATTTCAACCCTGGTGAATCTGATGATTATGTGCCTTGGGGTTACTCTTCTTGAGGAATATCTTTGTGGTGGTCTCTGTATTTCCTGGGCTTGAATATTGGCCTGCCTTGCTAGTTTGGGGATGTTCTCCTGGATAATATCCTGAAGAGTGTTTTCCAGCTTGGATTCATTCTCTCTGTCACATTCAAACACCTATCAAACGTAGATTAGGCCTTTTCACATAATCCCATATTTCTTGGAGACTTTGTTCATTTCTTTTCACTCTTTTTTCTCTAATCTTGCCTTCTCGTTTTATTTCATTGAGTTGATCTTCAATCTCTGATATGTTTTCTTCCTCTTGGTTGATTCGGCTATTGAAACTTGTGTATGCTTCGTGAAGGTCTTGTGTTGTGTTTTTCAGCTCCATCAATTCATTTATATTCCTCTCTAAGCTGTTTACTCTCATTAGCACTTCGTCAAACCTTTTTTCAAGGTTCTTAGTTTCTTTGCATTGGGTTAGAACATGTTCTTTTAGCTCAGAGAAATTTGTTATTACCCACCTTCTGAAGTCTGTTTCTTTCAATTCATCAGACTCATTCTCCATCCAGCCTTGTTTCCTTGCTGGTGAGGAGTTGTGATCCCTTGGAGAAAGAGAGACATTCTGGTTTTGGGTGTTTTCATCCTTTTTGTGCTGGTTTCTTCCCATCTTTGTGGATTTATCTACCTGTGGTCTTTGTAGTTGGTGACTTTCAGATGGAGTCTCCGAGTGGATGTCCTTTTTGTTGATGATGAGATTATTTGTTTCTGTTTTTTAGTTTTCCTTCTAACAGGACCCTCTGCTGTAGGACTGCTGCAGGTCCACTCCAGACCCTGCTTGCCTGGGGATCACCTGCAGCAGCTGCAGAACACTAAGAGTTGCTGCCAGTTTTTTCTTCTGTTATCTTTGTCTCAGAAGGATACCCACCATATGTCAGCCTGAGCTCTCCTTTATGAGGTAACTCTTTGGATATGTGCGAGTCAGGCAGCTGCTTGAGAAGATAATCTGTCCCTTATAGGAACTCAAGTGCTGAGCTGTGAGCTCTGTTGTTCCATTGAGAGCTGCTGGGCATGTACGTTTAAGCCTGCTGTCGTGGAACTCATAACCGCCTTTTTTTCCCAGGTGCTCTGTCCTGGGAAGGTAGGGCTTTATTTATAAATTCCTGACAGGCTGCTGCTTTTTTTCAGAGATGCCATGCCCAACGAGGAGGTAGCCTATTCACAGTCTCCCGGCAGAGGCGTTGCTGAGCTGCTGTGGGCTCTGCCCAGCTGCTGTGTGAACTTCCTTGCAGTTTTGTTTATAGAGGTATAGTTAAAACTGCCTCAGTAATGGTGGTCTGCCTCAGTAATGGCAGACTGTCTCTGTAATGGTGGACTGCCTTGGTAATGGGTGATTGCCTCAGTAATGGCGGACTGCCTCAGTAATGGCAGACTGCCTCAGAAATGGTGGACTGTCTCAGTAATGGCAGACTTCCTCGGTAATAGTAGATGCCCTTCCCCCCACAGAGCTGGACTATCCTGGGTCCAGCACTGCTTAGTGTGAAACTCTCAGTCCAGAGTGTTTCAGATTGCTGGTCTTTGTGGGGGTGGGACCGGCCAAGCCAGATCACCTGGCTCACTGTATCAGCCCCCTTTTGTTCAGTTGAACGAGTGACTCTGTCTCCTAGGTGTTGCAGTCGCCAGTTGAAATGGCACCTGGATTTATGTGAGTTTCTATGCAGAGACCCGCTGCGCTGGCTGAAACAGCCATGCTGGAGACTCATGGTGCTTTTCTGCCCAGGAATCTCCTGGTCTGTGGGCAGTAAAAATTCATTTGGAAATTCAGCAATCACTCATTGTCTGTGTTTTCACTGGGAACTGCAATTCAGAGCTGTTCCTATTCAGCCATCTTGGATCCAATAGTTCTTGACAATTATATACATCCATATAAGCACCACAAGAAGATTTAGAACATTTCTATCACTCCGGAAAGTTTCCTCCTTCCCTCTGCAATTAGTCCCTCCTATTCCCCAGTGCAGGCTGTCACTGAAGTGCTTCCTTATCACTACAGATGATAATGGCCTGTTATAGAAATTCATATATGGAATAACATAGTAAGTATTCTTTATATCTGGCTTTTTGTTTAGCATAATGCTTTTGAGATTCATCCATGTAATTGTTTATTTATCCAGTTTATTTATGTTGCTAAATATTTATTCCATTGTATGAATTTACCAGGTTTCTTATCTGTTCACCCATTAATGAACCTCTAGGTTGTTTCCACTTTTTTTACCATTATTAATGAGGCTGCAGTGAACATTCTTGTACCCATTTCTCACGTGCATATGTCTTTATTTCTCTTGGGTAAATACTTCAGTGGAATGACCGAGTCCTTATGATTAGTATATATTCAACTTTATAAGAAATTGTCAAACTGGTTTACAGAGTGGTTTTTACCAATTTACCTTTCAACCAGCAATGATTGAAAGTTCCAGTTGTTCCAAATCCTTCCCAGTATTTGCCATGGTCAATTTTTAGTTTTCATTTTTCATCATTCTGGTAGGTGCAGTGATATTTCATTCTGGTTTTAGTTTTCATTTCCCTGATGACTAATGATGTTGAACATCTTTTCGTGTGTTTATTAGCATAATATTTGTGAACATTCTGTTAAAGTTTTATGCTCATTTTTATTGCACTGTCTTTTCACTATTGAATTGTATGTCTTCTTTACATATTTGACATACAAGTTAATTGTCAAATATAATACATATATTGCACATATTTCCCTAGTCTATGACTTGAGTTTTCATTTATTTAACATAATGTGTTGAAGACAAGTTTTTAATTTTTGGTAAAGTACAGTTTCTCATTGTTTGTTTGTGATTAGTGCTTTTTTATGTCTTATCAAAAAAGTCTTTGGTTATCCTAAGGTCCTGAAGATTTTCTTTTGTTTCCTTCTGTGAGTTTTACAGTGTTAACTTTTACATTTATACCTGTGATACATTTCAAGTTAATTTTTGGTTACAGCGTGAGATACAGGTTAAGATTCATTGTTTTCCTATGTGAATATCCAGTTGTTACTGAAGTCATTTGTTTAAAAGACCCTTTTTGCTCATTGATTACTTTCTCATCTTTGTCTACTTTCATCTTGCCATATATGTGTGTCTTAATTTCAGAACTCTATTATATCCATTTATATATCTATATTCTTATGTTTTGATTACTGTGGTTTTAAGTTTTCATATTAGATAGTGTTAGTCCTGTGATTTTGTTCTTTTTATCAAGTTGTTTTGCTATTCTAGATTCTCTACATTCCTAGAGGAATTTTAAAAATAATTTTTTGATTCCTACAAAACTTTTTGGGATTGCATTTCAGTAGATTGATTTGGAGAAGATAAATTGGCATTTTAACAATATTGAATGTTCTAATTCATGAACATTGTGTATCTTTCCATTTATTTAGGTCCTCTTTAATTTTTCACAACAATATTTTATAGATTTATTTGACAGAATTTGTGCATATTTTAAATTCATCCCTAAATATCCATTTCCAATTTTAATTGCTGGTACAGTCATGTGCTGCATAACAACATTACAATCAATAATGAACATATATATGACAGTGGTCTCTTAAGATTATTTGTTTATTTTTGAGATAGAGTCTCACTCTGTCACCCAGGGTGGAGTGCAGTGGCACAATCTTGGCTCACTGCAACCTCCACCTCCTGGGTTAAAGCAATTCTCCTGCCTCAGCCTCCTGAGTTTACAGGTGCCTGCCACCACACCCAGCTAATTTTTGTATTTTTAGGAGAGACGGGCTTTCACAATACCATATTTTTACTTTACCTTTTCTATGTTTATATATATTTAGATAGACAAATATTTACCATTGTGTTACCAGATTGGTCTCAAACTCTTGGGTTCAAGTGATCCTCCCACCTTGGCCTCCTGAAATGCTAGATTTACAGACGTGAACCATGAAGCCCCACCCAACCTTGCATTTCTGAACTATATCCCACTTGGTCATATACAGATTGCTAGATTTGATTTTCTAATATTTTGCTAAAGAATTTCACACCTATAGTAATGAGAGATACTGGTTTATGGTGTTCTTTTCTTGAAATGTTTTTGTCAGGTTTTGGTGTCAGAATAATACTGTCCTTGTAAATGTCCTCTCCTTTTTTTTCTGAGAGATGTGTAGGATTGATGTATTAGTTCGTTTTCACTCTGCTGATAAAAACCATACATGAGATTGGTCAATTTACAAAAGAAAGACGTTTAATTGGACTTACAGTTCATCATGGCTAAGGAAGCCTCATGATCATGGCAGAAGGCAAGGAAGAGCAAGTCACATCTTACATGAATGGTACCAGCAAAGAGAGAGAGCTTGTGCAGGGGAACTCCTCTTTTTAAAACCATCATAGCTCGTGAGACTTATTCGCTATCATGAGAATAGCACAGGAAAGATTTGCCCCCATGATTGAGTTACCTGCCACTGGGTCCCTCCCATAACATGGGAATTTAAGATGAGGTTTGGGTAAGAACACAGCCAAACCATATCATTCTGCCCCTGGCCTCTCCCAGATCTCACATTCTCTTATTTCAAAACCCATCATGCCTTCCCAACAGTCCTGCAAAGTCTTAACTCATTTCAGCATCAACTCACAAGTCCACAGTCCACTCATCCAAGACAAGACAAGTCTCTTACACCTATGTGCATGTAAAATCATAAGCAGGTCGGTTACTTCCTAGACACAGTGGGGGTACAGACATTGGGTAAATACAGCCATTCCAAGTGGGAGAAATTGGTCAAAACAAAGGGACTACAGGCCCCATCCAAGTCCAAAATTCAGTGGGGCAGTCAAATCTTAAAGCTCCAAAATGATCTCCTTTGACTCTATGTCTCACATCCAGGTAACACTGATGCAAGTGGTAAGTACTTAGCTTTAAGCATAAGTACACTTTTGTCATGCCTGGGGTTGTATAATGTAAGCATCTAGGTCATATTTTAAGCTTTAATTATAAATCCTTTCAATCCACAGCTATTTTCCTTTCCTGGCCAATCTCCTTTGACTTCATGTCTCACATCCAGGTGACACTGATGCAAGGGGTATGGCCTTGGTCTTGGGCAGCTCTGCTCCTGTGGCTTTGCAGGGTACGGCCTTCCTCCTGGCTGCTTTCACAGGCTGCTGTTGAGTGTCTGCAGCTTTTCCAGGAGCACAGTGAAAGCTGTCAGTGGATCTACGATTCTTGGGTCTGGAGGACAGTGGCCCTCTTTTCACAGCTCCACTAGACAGTGTCCCAGTAGAGACTCTGTGTGGGGACTCTGACCCCACATTTCTCTTCTTCACTGACCTAGCAGAGGTTCTTTATTAGAGCCCTACCCCTGTAGCAAACTTCTGCGTGGACATCCAGACCTTTCCATAGATCTTCTGAAATCTAGGCAGAGGCTCTCAAACCTCAATTCTTGACTTCTGTGCATTCACAGCTCAACACCACATGGAAACTGCCAAGGCTTGGGGCTTGCACCCTCTGAAGCCATGGCCTGAGCTCTACATTGGCCTCTTTCAGCCATGGCTGGAGTGGCTGGGATGTAGGACACCAAATCCCTAGGCTGCACACAGCATGGGGACCCTAGGCCTGGCCCGTGAAACCACTTTTTTCTCCTAGGCCTCCTGGCCTGTGTTGTGAGGGACTGCCTCCCATTTGACATGCCCTGGAGACATTTTTCCCCATTGTCTGAGGGATTGATATTCAGTTCCTTGTTACTTATGCAAATTTCTGCAGCTGGCTTGAATTTCTTTCTCAGAAAATGGGATTTTCTTTTTTACAGTATTGTCAAGCTGCAAATTTTCCAAACTTTTATGCTCTGCTTCCCTTATAAAACTGAATACACTGCAGTGGCTCACGCCTGTAGTCCCAGCATTTGGGTGGCCAAAGCAGGTGGATCACCTGAGGTCAGGAGTTCGAGACCAGCCTGACCAACATGGTGAAACCCCATCTCTGCTAAAAATACCAAAAATTTGCTGGCATGGTGCTGGGCGCCTGTAATCCCAGCTACTTGGGAGGCTGAGGCAGGAGAATCACTTGAAGCTGGGAGGTGGAGGTTGCAGTGAGCCAAGATCGCACCATTGCACTCCACCCTGGGCAACAAGAGTGAGACTCTGTTGCAAAAAAAAAAAAAAAAAAAAAAAAATGCTTTTAATAGCACCCAAATCACCTCTTGAATGCTTTGCTGCTTAGAAATCTCTTCTACCAGATACCTTAAACCAACTCTCTCAAGTTCAAAATTCCAAGAATTTCTAGGGCAGGGGCAAAATGCTGCCAGTCTCTTTGCTGAAGTGTACCAAGAGTCACCTTTGCTCCAGTTCCCAACAAGTTTCTCATTTCCACTGAAACCACCACAGCCTGGACCTTATAGTTCATATCACTATCAGCATTTTTGTCAAAGCCATTCAACAAGTCTCTGAGAAGTCTGGGAAGTTCCAAACTTTCCCTCATTTTCCTGTCATCTTCTAAGCCCTCCAAACTGTTCCAACCTCTGCCTGTTACCCAGTTTCAAAGTCACTTCCACATTTTTGGGTATCTTTTCAGCAGTGCCCCAATCTAGTGGTACCATTTTACTGTATTAGTCTGTTTTCATGCTGCTGATAGAGACATACCTGAGAATGGACAATTTATAAAAGAAGAAAGTTTAATTGGACTTACAGTTCCATGTGGCTGAGGAAGCCTCACAATCATGGCAGAAGGCAAGGAAGAGCAAGTCACATCTTACATGAATGGCAGAAGCCAAAGAGAGCGACCTTGTGCAGCGGAACTCCTCTTTTTTTAAACCATCAGATCTTGTGAGACTTCCTCACTATCACGAGAACAGCACAGGAAAGACTTGCCCCATGACTGTTACCTCCCACCGGGTCCCTCCCACAACACATGGGAATTCAAGATGAGATTTGGGTGGGAACACAGCTAAACCATATCAATTGATAATATTTATTCCTTAAATGTTTTATATACTCTCCCAATAAAACTATCTGAGCCTGAGAAGACTGTCAGTTATGAGTTCAACATCTTTAATAGATAGAGGGAGCTATTCATGACATGTTCTATTTCTTTCTATGTCAGTTTTGGTAATTTTGTTCCTTATTTGTATGCATCTGAGAATTACTTAACTGCAGCCATTTGCACTCTCCTCACTCCCCACTTGGAGCTTCCTCTCTACAAGTCATTCTTCTACTGGCAGATATTTCCATGAGCCCTCTGAAACCTTGTTTCATTGCCAGCAAGCCCTCTCTCACCCTTAGCTTCTTCACAGAAGACTATCTGTAGTAACCTTACCCTCTCCCTGATAATACCACCTTGTTTATTACTCGCTGAATTGGATGATGTTTAATTTGGTTATCCTCCATTTACTAGGGAAGTGCATCAAGTAGAAATGGGATCTGAGCAATGGCTGGTCCTTTTCATTCAACAACACTGAATGCTGGAGCAAGTTGTGGCTACCAAAAGAAGAGAACAAAAGATAAAAACAACTTAGCAGCAGGAGGTGGGGTGATGGTGGTTGGACAGAAAGCAAGTCAGGAAAAAAAAAAAAGAGAGACGTGTCACCCTAGATGAGAGTGACACATGCAGCTAGCTATTGCTTTTAGAGCCCACGTAATGGCATTACACAGTGCTGCCTTTCTGCTGTCATGTATTTATGTTCCACCTGATTTCACATAACTCAAGGGCTCAGAGACTTTGTTTCACTGTTGTAGAGACATTGATTTTGAAGCTTATGGCATGTAAGACATTCGTTTAGTCGTCCTCCTCAGCAAACTGACACAGGAAGAGAAAACCAAACACCACGTCTTCTCACTCATAAGTGGGAGCTGAACATTGAGAACACATGGACACAGGGAGGGGATCATCACATACTGGGGCCTGTCAGGGGCAAAGGGGAAAGGTGAGGGAGAACATTAGGAGAAATACCTAATGTATATGGAGCTTAAAACCTAGATGATGAGTTGATAGGTGCAGCAAACCACCATGGCACATGTATACCTATGTAACAAATCTGCATGTTCAGCACATGTATCCCAGAACTTAAAGTGAAAGAAAAAAAAATCAGTTTAATGGGAGATTGAAAACTCTCTGCATTTCTGGTCTATGGCCTCTTCATTTGATGTCAGTAGAAATTTCTAATGCATAAGAGAATTCATATAGAAATATTTTTGGGATATTTTGTTATGGTAAGTAAAAGGATCTGGAGGAATTTGGTGGAGTAAATAAATTATTTCAGCCTAAATTTAAAAACTTTAGAAACTGTCTTATTGCTAAAAACATCCTTCCAAGAAGAGAAAAACAGGTCTCCTGGATTGTTTGTTAAACTTTTCCTTAGAACGGACTGTTATAAAGTATGTGTATCTTTAAGGAGATTCATCTGTGGGGTGTTATATGGATCTTATTGCACAGTTGTCTCCATTGTAAGGACTCTCTTGACTAGGACTCCAGGGTCAGCATTTATAAAAAGTCTTCATGGTTTTAATATTTCTATTTTACAAATGACAAAGATTATATATAGCACAGTGAGGATATGTTGTCATGTCTTCTTCTATAGGCTAACAAGCTAGGAACAAAATTAGAGTTCTGACTCCTCTTCCAGTGTTTGGTTGTGTACTGTCTTTGTTGCCTGGAGCTCAGTCTCACTTAATGAAAGGGAGACAAACTTAAATGATTATTCCAAGATCCCATACAGAGTCCCATAGGAATAGGGACAGGGTAGGGGTGAGGGATGGGAGGCTCCTTGCATCTTGGTTGATCAGACTAGAAGCTCCTCAAG